ATCTCCCGATGCAAAAGAAAACTTAAAACTGAAAATGGGTCAGTTTTGATCAATTACCAAACAACCAAACAGTGTGTTATTTTCTTTTTTTCTAGATATAATGCCCACTATGTTTTATATTACACAGCTTTTTCAACTATAACACATGGATATTAAGATTAGGATGACAGGGACACAATTTTACATGAAGCTTGATAAAGGCCAAGATCCTGTATGACAGAGCATAGTGTAAAAGTTGCACAGGCAGATATAACTTCCACCTCTCTTCTCAATCGCTCTCCCGTACACACTGTTTACCAGCTGCAGCTTCCTCTGCCCACCATTCATTGGTTGGCAAAGAGTGGAAAGACTGAAGAAGTGTCTGGTTATGCCCTCACAGCCAGATACAGACTGATGAAATTATCTGCTGAAATCCACTATGGCCCTTTGGAGGTCTCTGCCGATGATGTAATTATTTTGCAGCTGGCTTCAGAGCCATAGCCAGACACTTCTCTTGATTCCCTCTGGTCACCACAAGCCACTGGATGGCCATTTAGGAGGATGCAGGAGCAAGATGGTGAGTCTGTTTATTTTAGAGGGAGGAGTGAACACCTGCCTGAACAATGATGGAAACAAGACATATGCAGGCATATGTTGGACTTCTCTCTCCCTCACTAGAGAATATATACCGCAGAGATGGAGATCTCTGTGGCCTTTAGATGTTGTTGGATTGCAGGTCCCAGCATTCCTTATCATTAGGCTATGCCGGCTACAGCCTCTGAGAACTGCAATCCAACAATATTTGAAAGGTTACACAAATCAAACCCCTGATTTACAACAAAGTAAACAGAAGTGATAAGGCAATTATCCATATTGCTGAGTTAATTAATACCTATAATGACAACCCAGGACAATAGTGTGACAGGAAACTATTGTCTCTGTTATTGTCCTATGCTACTACAGACATCAATTAAATACCTAAAATGCCCAAATAGGACAATGGTCTCTCCACACCTATACAGTGGGACTGGACAATGATCTTAGAAACAATGGTTTCCTCTCCCACTATTGTGCTCGCTTACAACTATTAGTGTTTGTGTAACAAAACTTGGTGATTTTGTAGTGAGCAGTTCATTTTATTTTTATGTAATATAGTCACAGACTGTACTGTATCATGCATTTGATGAAATGCACTCCATTGTATGAAAGGTTAAGCCACAATAAATCTTATTTGTCATGAAGGTGCTACAGTGAAACATGTGAGTCAGTTAAGATACCTAAATTGCATAAAGAAGTTTCAGCACTCAGTGTTTGCATATAAATCTATTTGTCTTTATATAACTCCTCCAGCAGGAAGTTGCCAACACAGTAATAAAATGAAACGTGTCATAGAAAAATTCTTAAACCATAGCAATATCAGGTCAGTAGTATTATGCCAGCCAGGAGTTAACATATTGTGATCTCCAAATGTTGTTGTACTGTAATTCTCAGAACACTCCAGGATTGGTTCTGCTGGCTAGGGCTGATAGGAGCTTCAGTCTAATACAGGGGTAGGCAACCTAAGGCCCGGGGGCCGGATGCAGCCCCCTGAGGCCTTTGGACCAGTCCCAGGCCGGTCCTGCCGCCGCCCCCCCTCACCCACCATGATGATATTGATTATCGTTGTTATTACTTGTTCTTGGGGGTTTCTTGGCAAAATCTCCACAGGGGATTTGCCATGGCTTTTCTGGGGCTGAGAGAGTGTGCATGCATATATATTTTTTTTAAAAAATTATTTATTTATTTATTTATTTATTTATTTATTTATTTATTTATTTATTTTTGGTGCTTCAGCCCCCCAATTGTCTGAGGGACAGCAACCCGCCCCCCGGCTCAAAAAGGTTGCCTACCCCTGGTCTAATAACATCTGGAGATGCACTTTGTTTCCCCCTGACATAAGTCCCCCAAGTACCTTTCATCATCATGTAGGAAATAACAATAACAACAACATTTCTTTCTCATTTCTTCCCAAGGCTCGAGGTGGGGTACAGCATATTAAAATACAAAACAGAATTAAAAAGAAAACACATAAAACCAACAGTTAAAATACAATACTATAAACCATTAAAGTACAACCATATGAGTACATTCTTTAAAATAAACAAATTACAAAGTCATGTTTTAAAATTGACTGGGTAGGCCTGCTAGAAGAGAATAATAATAATAATTTTTATTTATATCCCGCCCCTCTGCAGAGCAATCAGGGCGGCTTACAACATTACAATTTCCATTAAACAAAACATAAAATCCCGAATCCCACCCATCCTTTAAGAAGTAAGGGTTCTTCTTATTCTAGGCTGGGTGGTGTTGAGCTTAGTGTCTCTCCCCCAGATGACATCGGATGGTAATGGAGGGAGGGCTCTTCTTATTTTAGGCCTGATGGTGCTCGGCCTAGTGTCTCTCCCCCAGATGACATCGGATGGTAATGTTTAAATCAGCATTTTCAGCTGTCATATCTCTTCCAGCAAGTCATTCCACAGTTTAGGGGCAGCAGATGAAAAGGTCCTCTCGGAAACCATGGCAAATCTAGTCCTGGCTAGTTGGAGCAAACATTTCCCAGCGGACCTGAGTCTACAGATTGCCTGTTGCTGCCATGAGGCATGGGCAAGAAGCAAGTGGGGTCAAGGCTGGTTTTCATGGGCAAGACTGCATTCAATCCTTACCTCTCTTGATTTGCATTGGTCTTTATGACATGGTAGTCAATGGGCTGGCTCAGGTGACTTAATAAGCCAAGAATCCATGTGAACACTGTCTTATTAGTTGCAAGAACCATCTGGTTGCATTCTGCCTGATCACTCCTGCTTGCAGCGGGAGCAGCAAAACAAACTACAGAGCTCTGCTCTGTGGTTTGCTTAGTATGCTATCCAAACACAGACACAGCTCCCTCTCTGGATTTGTTCTCACACAATAAACCAGGGAAGCAAATTTAAAACAAACCATGGAATCCATCTCCAGTTTGTTGTGAAAAATATTAATAAAGTGGTCGAAAAAGTTCTAAAGAGCAAAGACATACAACTAAACATGAAAGTCAGAATTGTACAAGCAATAGTATTCCCCATCACTATGTATGGATGCGAGAGCTGGACAGTTAAGAAAATTGACAAAAGAGAATAATTTTTTTTTGAAATGTGGTGCTGGAGAAGAGTGCTGAGGATACCATGGACAGCAAAAAGAACAAATAGGTGGGTCCTAGAACAGATCAAGCCTAACATTTCCCTAGAGGCAAAGATGATTAAACTGAAGCTGTCAGACTTTGGTCACATCATGAGAAGACACAACTCATTAGAAAAACAATAATGCTAGGAAAAGTGAAGGAAATAAGAAAGAGAGAAAGACCACATACTAGATGCATGGATTTGGTTAAGGAGGCCACAGGTATGAACCTGCAGAAACTGGGAAGAGTAGTAGAGGACAGGGAGTCTTAGAAATGTCTCATCCATGGAGTCACCATGTGTTAAGACCAACTTGTGGGTGGTTAACAACAACAAAACCCATATATGGGCAGCATCTGAAGCAAAGCTTAGCTGCTCCTTCTGCAAATAGGAATGATTCAAAAGCATGCACTACCATGGTGCTCATAACCTATAAGCCAGGGTTTCCATCCCTGGTTTGTTTTATCATAGAGATGGAAAAATATTTGAAAATATTACTAGAAAAATCCTGGACTGGCAAGAACATTTGCAGTTGAGGATTTATATTCTGTGTAAAATTTGCATGTGTTTGTTTTATGCTGGAAACAGTATTTTCTGTGCTGTACAGGAATTGCTGGTGTAATTGGGGATTGAATTTGCACAAAATTTGCATTTGGTTGTTGTGCAAAGAATGCAGCATTTTCTACATTGGGAACACAATTTTCAGTACAGAAAATATTTCTGCACATATTGTTTTCTGCACAGAAAATTCTGTTTCCTGTGCAGAAAATGCTGTTTTCTTCACAAAATATTCATGTGCAAATTTTGTGCAGAATAAGTCCCAAACTGCAAATAGGCTTTAGGGCCTGTGCAGTTTTCAAAGCCTTTTTCACAGTGGGAAGAAAACTGCTAAAAATTACTCATCACTTCCTTCTTTCTCTGTTAGTCTCAAAGATACCTTTGCATCCAAGCAGAAAATTAGTGAAGAATTACTTACATCCCTACTATCTAAGTATGTGCACAGGGATAAATCCTTTCCTTGCTTACAGCAACCTTACTGACAGATTTTGTCCCACACTTTTCTCTATTAAATCTCTATGTTCCTTTGTATCTGGTTAAATAAAAGTCAAACCAAAAATAATGACCTGCAAAGGATGAGGAGTACTACCTAGAAACCAAATGTCTTTCAAGATTCCACAACAGAAGCCCTGGTTCTGGGTGCCTAGAACTTCAGAGGATGGGGAAACCCTGTAACAGGGCTTCTCCAGATTATTTAAAATTGTTCAGAACCACATGGAAGTAAATACTGCTTCAATTATGTAGTAACATTGGGTCCGAAATGTCTGCTGTATAACAGAACCAATTGTTAATGCCAGTACTACATTGGCAATAATGCCTTGGATGCCTAAATCCATCTAGTTACTGCTTTCTATTCCATTGTGACTAAAGCCTGGAGTAGGTTCTGCATGACAGATAAGTTGCAAACACAACTTACGTAACCATGGGTGTGTACCTTGTACCCATTGCTTATTTTTCACATGAGAGCAGGTTGGCCTTTCACCTGCTCTGCACAATGACTTGATTCTCAGGTTTTCTGTTTCCAGCCGAGAAGGCAGCTGTTCTTCTGCAATCCATACTAAGTTTATCTATGTGCCTCTACAGCTGAAATTCCTGAAGCATCAAAACAAAGAAAATAGACAGGAATACAATGTGGTTGGGAGGAAGGGCATGTGGGAATGGTTTGGAACATATCATCATGGCACTTCTTAACATACTGGTGAAACTATTATTTTTTAATATTTATTTGTCATATTTATCAAAACCACTCTGCATCACCACTACTAAACAAGAGCCAGTTTGGTGCAGTGGTTTGAACATTGGACTATAACTCCGGAGACTCTGGAGATCAGGGCTCAAATCACCCAACTGAAAACCCACTGGGTGATCCCAGGCAAGTCACACATTCTGAACCTCAGAGAAAAGCAAACGCAAATCCTTTCTGAACAAATCTTGCTAAGAGAACCCCCTGATAGCTTCACCATGGGTCACCACAAGTTGAAAATGACTTGAAGGCATGCAGCAAAAACAAATATGGGAATTTGTTGTTAGCTGCCTCTGAGTCAACCTTGATTCATGGCAACCCTGTGAATGAGATGTCTCTAACCCCCCTTATCCTCTGCCTCTCTGCTCAGGTCCTGTAAATCTCCCTGACTGAAAAGATGAAAATGTAAATGTTTAAAATATCAAACAACTATGACAATAAATCTGTGGTGGGCCTTTCAGTTTAAGGAGGTTTGTTTAAATCTAAGAATCATAGAATCATAAGGGACCACAAGAGCCATCTAATCCAACCCTTGCCAACCCTTGAGGAATTTATAATGAGGAGAACGATGAGGCAGCACCAAGGTGTCACTGGTGTGGGTCGCAACTCCCGAACCTCCCTGGTGACACCAGTGGTATCTCTAGAGCATGTCAAAAATAAAATAATGTCCCCACATGTGTAACATCAAGTGAATTTCAAAGAGAAGGTAGTAATACACCAAAATGTCTACTTCAGGTGGCCTCTAAACAGACCTCAGGACCAGATGGAACCATAAGGATCAACTCATCCACTGATTACAAAGAGAGGAACTGGTCTGAATTTGTTTAGGGCTTAGAAAAGGAGTGGGCAAATGCAGAGAGGGAGAAGAATGCCTTGGGAATACACGGTAGGACACACCAGCATGCTACAACACACTGGAAGTGGCATAATGTCAACTCTGGATGCCTTTTTGACTGATTTTTTTTTTTTGCATGGTTGGAGGAAGCAAATTGCTATGTTTGCAGACTTTGAGCTGATTTTCAGGGAGAGTCACCCTAAAATTGGTGCATTAAAAAAACTGAGTCTTCTGGGGGTACATCTAGGGCTTCCAAGAATTGCATACAGCCCCTGGGTCACATTTTGACCACCCCTGGCTTAGGTATAAAGCAAAACATTAAACCTGATGTGGTAGCAGATAGGCAGCCAGTGATGTTTACTCAACAAAGGCATTACTTGGTGGACAAGAATAGTCAAGCTGCCACATTCTCCACTATCTCCAGTTTCTGACCCATAGAGGACAGATATCTGTAAAGAAGGACACAATGCTAAGCTGAAGATCATGATAATGCACTATAGATTTATCCCTGGGAATGCTAAAGTTGTCCTCAGATGGCCTCCCCAAATTCTTCACTCTATTTGTGAGCAGAAAATTTGGGGGGAGGAAGCATGATCAGGTTTCTTGAGGGTAAAGAGAAATTTCCAAACAGTTGTCAAATGATGGGGATAGGGTTGCTTTAGTGGCAGTAGCAGGAAAAATTAAATAAACTGGCTTTCTTTTTCTAAAGAAAGAAAAAACACATAAAATTTCCCAGTCAAAGCTTCTTCCGAGAAATGTTGGCCTAACCCTGAATACTTCTCCATTCTTCCATTCTCTATCCATTCTATGTACATTGGCCATTTGTGTGTGAAAACCATTCTTCAATTTAAAAATATAGTCATGGAGGAATTTAGACATTATTTTAATTTATTGTTTTATTTTATGCCATTTATCATTTCTCATCACATCAGGGGTTCCAAGGCAATGTATATTGGTAAAAACATTTAAAACTGAAAATATAAGGCTAAAACACATTTTTAAAGATTAAAATAGTTCTAAAATCACAGACAGTTAAAACAGTAAAAAAGAACTAGATCGGGAATCCCTAATTTTAAGAACCAAAATCCAATATGAATAAGACTATAGCCTCCAACATTTCAGAGACAGCAACATCAGAGTGTGGCCAAGATGGCAGAAGTTATTAATGAAAAAGAACACCCAAGCTAAAAATACTGCAGGATTTTGCTTTGGCCTGAACTTACTGGAAAGGGTAACATTCTGCCTCCTTCTTTCCTCTCCCCTTGCTGAGTCCATTGAGTGCAAATTAGTTTTGCACTTTGAATTCAGTTTGCAACTGAAATAATTTGAGGGTAAAGAGTTGAGGGTAAAGAGAGAAAATGGGAGGAGGAGAGAGAAATTATAGTTTAAAAGCAGCAGAAAAAGTGAGGGGATTAACTGCCACCAAATGAGGACAGTTGCAGGGTTATGTAGCACAGTTTTAGCTGCCTGCTTGGAACTCAGAAGGGATGGAACCAGCCTGACTTCCTTTGGGAGGAAGTTCCATATCTGGAGTGCTGCTACAAAGAAAGCCCTGTTACACATACCCATCAACCTACAACCACAAGATGGTGTGACATTCAACAGGACCTCAAGCGAGGTTCTGAAATATCAGGCAAACTTGTATGGCAGGATAGAGTCTTTAGATATCCTGGCCTCAAGCCATTTAGGACCTTATAGGTTAAAACCAGCACCTTGACATGAGCTTAGAAGCAATTTGGAAGTGTGTATAGTTCCTGTAAGACTGGTGTTTATATGGTCCCTAAAATACACATCCGACAACAGTCTGCCACCACAAGCATACCAGGCAATGTGCCTTCCAGCCTTCCAGCCTGGAAGCTCTTATTTTAAACTAATCTTAGATGTGTAAAGGAGATTGCAGTTTCTCTGTGGTGAGGACAACATACTCTGCATACCTCTGACTTCTTTGTTCTGGAATTGAGTTCCTCCCTTCCAGTCAGGTATTGACTGACCAGTCCGTCACTTGCATCATACTACACTAAAAGCATGGTGAGAATGTACAGGTCCAATTTGGCAAATAGAAAGGGGAAAGCTTCTTTGACTCCTGAAATAATAATGTTGCCCCCCAGTATTTCATGTGGTGCAGCTGTCTTTCCATCCCTCTCCTCCCAAAAAAGAAAGGGGGGAGGGAAAGGGGAGAGAATTAAAATAGTAGCAAATTATGGTCCCAAATAATCTTTGTTGTTGTGATTGCTGTGTGCCTTAAAGTTGTTTATGGCTTATTGTAACTCTAAGGCAAACCTATCGCTGGGTTTTCTGTGGCTGAGTGTGTAACTTGCCCAAGGTCACAAATAATAATAATAATAATAATAATAATAATAATAATAATAATAATAATTTATACCTTGCCCCTCTGCATAGCAATCGTTTTCATGGTTGAGTAGAGAATTGAACCCTGATCTCCAGAGTTGTAGTCCAATGGACAAACCATTATATCATGGTTGCTTCTTTTATAAGCTTAACATATATCAAATGGCAGCAAATTGACCTCTCTCTCTCTCTCTCTGTGTGTGTGTGTGTGTTATATACCTATAACACAAAAAATACTTTAAAAAAACATATGGGTTTTTAGTGCTAATTTAAAGTCTAATTTCATATCTCTATAAAAGAGATTCACAAAAAGTCAGCAAAATGTTGTGTCTTCTGCCTTCTTCAGTTGCTGAAAACAAAAATAACCTATCTCCAAAGTGGTAGTTCATATATTTCAATTATAAAATGGAGACCACCAAAAAGGTTACATAGTGGTATGAAGAGCACTAGTGATATGAACATATTCCTCACAGGGTTCTCCCTCCCAATCTTCTCCAAACAGTTGAGGGAATATGGGGGGGGCAGATGGGGGGCGTAGGGACTGTAGGGAAGAGAAAGGAGAGGGAAAATTGAATTGAAATATGCTGGAAGCCACCACTGTGAATATTTGATGATGCCATAACCCAAGAATCTCAAAGTAACCTGGGGACTAATGTTGTTTTGTGATCATTGGGCACAGTAACTAGAGCTGATGAGAGTTTATGGGCCAAAACATCTGCACATGTTAAAACTGTGTTACTGTTTTGGACTTTCAAAGAGCTAGCCTTTCCTTATGAAAAAGAATCTCCTGGCGTTTGGTCCTACAGCCTCCCATGGATACCAAAATGTGTGGGTGCTCAGTGACATAGTAAAATTGGGTCCCTTATATAAAACAGTAAAATCAAGATTTGCTTTTTGGTATTTTTTGGTGAATATTTTCGAACCACGCTTGATTGAATCTGTGGGTGCAGAATCCATGAATACAGAGGGCTAACTATACAAATGGGTAATGGTATTGTATGAACTGTATGTAACATGGGAATGAACAAAGCTTGGTGATTCCACATTAACAAGGTTGGAAAGCATGATTTGCTCTCCTAGATGGGTTGGCAGCTTTGTGGTCCTCTAGACATTGTTGGACAGAAACTCCACCAGATCTGTGGTGAGGAATGATGGAAGGTGCATTCCAACATCTGTAAGGGCATACATTGCTCAACCCTGTGCTACGCAAACAGGTCTACTGTGGACTGCTTCTGGTACTTATTCACACCACAACTCATTCATTCAGTAGGACTTCTATATCACAATTACATGGAAGCTGGAGGAGCCTTTGAAGGAAGAAGGCAGAGCATGAGAAAGTTACTTTTTCAACCATGTTGGTTTAGAGATTTTGGGAAATTGTAGTTACTTTCCCAAGCTTTGGAAAGAGCAAGTTTGGAATTGCACTTTCAGCAGTCCATTTCATTTTGATGAAACAACAGAAGCTGCTACAGTCTAAATTGGTTAAAATGAGAAAACATCTAGAATGATCTATTTGACCCACCTGCCAAGAGAAATGAATACACAATCAGAGACCCAGATTTCTCTGCTTTAAAAAGTAGCTAAATTTCTTCTTCAAAAAGGAAAACAAATTGGCAGGGTGGATTTGTTTCCATACTCAATTATCATTTATATCAGGGGTAGGCAACCTAAGGTCTGGGGGCCAGATGCGGCCCCCCGAGGCCTTTGGACCGGCCCCAGGCCGGCCCTGCCACCGCCACTGCCCCCCGCTGCCCCCCCCCCCGCTGCCGCCGCTGCCCGCCATGATGATATTGATTATTGTTGTTATTACTTGTTCTTGGAGTTTTCTTGGCAAAATCTCCACAGGGGTTTTGCCATGGCTTTTCTGGAGCTGAGAGAGTATGCATGCATAGTTTTTTAATTTTTATTTTTTTTAAAAAAAATATT